TGAATTTTGAAGGAATTTGGTTTGTTTATTTTCGGGGTTAGGGACATACGAACGTAATTTCCTGAAATGTTTACAAGCGAACAATTGCGAACAAGAGGGGGGGGAGGGGGTCAAGATTTCTCAAAAAGTGCGAACGTAATATGTGAACAATGCCTAATGACATTATTATCTAAAAATATGTGACATCATAGTTTAACACCAATACTGTAGTCACTACACTAAATACCCTCAAACTAATTGATTATTTCACAATATCATGAAAATTAATAACACCTGTATCAAATACAATAATTGATTACTACTGTACCCTAAGTACACTTGAGTACACAATTTCTGGTGGATTAGTGTTATTTTGATATCATTATCACCAAAATAACTAACAAGTATAGAAAATCTTAGTAAAATATATAAATAGGTTACCTGACATGATATTTAGTTAGATTTTCAATTTACACATAAGTGAGCCTAAAAATGTATTATAATTTACAAATTATTATAACTTTTATTTGTTTGGCTATAAGTGCCACAAATGGTGACTATCTATCACTCGATGGCACCGAATGGGTGGCAATCAGTCAAAATAAATGTAAACATTTTATATACATTTAATAAAGTGCTTTATTAATTAAAATAATTAAATTTTTATTTTGAAAATAGCTATACAAGCAAAAGCCAAAGTGCCGGGCAGTATATACTCGGATCTGAGACGGGAGGGTATACTAAAGGAAAGTCTGTATAAAACGGATAATGACCTCAAGTATCGGTGGGTGTCGTACGACAACTGGACATTTGAGCGCACATTCAATGGTAGTATAATTATAACTAATAATTAGTTTTTTGATACAAATATTGTGTTGAATATAGTGGACACAAAACTGTTAGCCAAACAATACGTATATTTGTTGGCCGATGGCATCGACACCGTAAGCACTGTCACCATAAATGATGAATTGATCGGTCGGACAGACAATCAGTTCATAAGATATAAGTTTGATGTGAAGAAAGTCCTCAAATTGGGTCCAAACGTCATACGAGTGGCCATACAGTCGGCGCCGTTATATTCAATGCAAAGGGCTAAACAATACGAGACTCAATACAAGTATAAAGTGAATGGTATGTTATCAATGATATTTGAAAGCAATATAATACATGTGTTATCATAATTAAGTACTCATTAGTTGACAGAAGTATAGTAAGACTTTAAGAGTGTTTAAAAACTTATTTAATTAAAATATCTCAATAGTTAATGTTATTTATGAGATTTAATATGAAAGTTAAAAGTTGAAAATGTCTGAAACTTTTGGCACAATCGTTGAAATCACACGCAAATGATTTTTCTTCCGAATGTATGCGTTTGTGTTGTGAATGTAGATTTGATGGGCGAGTAAATCATTTATGGCAATTCTCAGTATGACATACAAATATTTTTATATTGAAATGGACAGATATTTCATGTGTATAATAACTAGAAATGTATGATTTTAGTGACTCAATACTATTAATAGTACTAATATATTTAATTTGCTTGATTCATTTCTCGTTTATAATAGACTGCACTAAAGGCGCTGACAATGAATGCTATTATGATTTTATCCGAAAAATGGCCTCTTCTTACAGTTGGGATTGGGTTCGTACGACATGTCAATCCCCTTCCCTTTCCATCCCACATAATATTTCAAACTTTGAAATTCAAAGTCTCCTTAACTACAGGGGCCGGCATTTCCCACACAAGGCATATGGAAACCCATTGGCATCGAGGCGTACGATAAGGCAGTCCTCCGGGACGTAATGGTAGACACAAAACCCGACCCTAAAAATAGCTCTCAATGGGTGCTGACAGTCAGTACGTACGTGGAGTCGGCATCACTGAAACAAATCGACACAATACTCGACATCTCATTGGACGACAAAATCTTAGTTTCAAAACAGAAACACAGTTTGAAAACCGATTTACTCGGATCCGTGAAACTAGATATCGTGATCCCTATCCCACAG